GTGATAATTGTTATATTTTGCGCTTTGAAAGGTAATCTATTCATTCTTTGGTTTAATGGATGAATCCAGTTTATGCTTTTGGAGATCACAAATTTAAAAACTTTTGATCCGATTTTTATTTTCTATATTAATTTTATGGTTTCTGAAGTTGAATTTTTTTTAACAATAATAGTAATCACTATGAAAATGTCAATTATAAAAAATTCTTATAAAGTCTTTTATAGAGCTGTATAGAAATTCATGTAGCTCTGTATCAGTTTTTCTACAGCTCTATAGGTTTTTATAAAAATTTTTGAGGGATAGCTCTTCTTGGTGCGTATTACCATTCCAAATTGTTGGTTTTTTTTTATTACCACTTGTTGCCAAATGTAAATATTTACTTGAAATTTAACTAGATGGTGGCAAACCTAAGGATATGTAAGGATTCATGAAAAGAGTTATACTTTTATTAAAATTAGAATAAATACAAAATAAATTTTACCTGATTAATTTTGGATTAAACAAGACTGCTAATTTTCCATAAGCAGGTTAATTTGGCACCAAACTCTTTTCGTTTGTAATATCAAACATCACATAGCAGTTTCATTTCGAAATTGCCAATTGCAAAAAGAAAACACGATGTAAAATCTAACATCGCCAAACAGAAATGACGCTAAATACAACACAAGCATAAATTACTACAAAATAAAGCATAAATTTAAAATTACAAAAAATTCATGTCACAAACATGAAACTAAAAATTACAAAAGTAAATTACTACAAAAATAATACATGCCAAATGTCTGTTCACTAGCATAAAAAAATATCAACCACGTAAATATATTCGAATTCACTAACAATATACAAGTTACTATTGTCGTGGAATTCAACATACTGAACCACTTTCAATCAACACTTAAAAGATTCCACATCTCTGGGTTGCCACATGAAAGAAACAAAAATAAAAAAATAATTCACTGACCTGAAAAACATTAAATAGTAAAATTAAATGAAAAAGTTCATAAATTATAAACTACATGTCATCTGAAAGCCAACATTCTCCCATCACCTCTTGCAAATATTAAACAGCAAAACTTTTAAAAATGAACACAATATTTCAAAATTAAGTTTAAAAAAAAAAAGTCTTCTGGCTACACTAAACTCACCTTTTTTACAATCACTGAAATAAAGGGAAGCACTTCCGCAGAGAACCCGGTAAATCTAAACATCGCCAACTTTGGCGATAATACTTCAAGCCTGGTAACCCAGCGGATATATACTATTTGCTTGTTTGAAGTTTACAACCATTCCTCTTGCGTTCATTTTGTTGAATTATCACCGTCGTTGTTCGCATTTGCAGATTTATGTTATTCTTCTCTTATTTATTATTATTTTTACTGAATTTTTTAACAACGAATAGATAGAAATATTTTCGTAGATAGATGCCGGTTCTCGGTTCGGGATGAAAGGAAGAAGAAATACAGCGGGAGGGTGAATGCTAATTGAACACGGCTGTTCACGTAGTGTTTTAATTATTACAGCTCTAAGAACCATGAGGTTTCCAACCTAAAATAGTTTGTTTTCATAGGCCGCAAAAATGTGCATGTGCATTTTAATAATTAAGTAATGCTTTTATTTTTATTATTGGTTATGTCTTCTAAAATTATAAGAATAAATCAATTTTATGGCGTAAAATTTTAACAAGATAATATATTATTTATGCTTTTGGACAATAACCTTTCAGATGATGGCAGGTGTGACATAAATAGATGATTAAATTGAAAAAAAAAAATATTATTGATTATCTAAGATACTGAATAGTTTTATGCATCCCATGGTCATCAAAATTAGCAAACCACTGCTGGGAAAGGAATATATGTTTTCTATGTTAACTGGAATTAAGACAAATTTTTTCGTATATCACGTTTAACCGGTTAATTTCAGTAGATTAATACTAATTTATATTTTTTAAATGAATTTTTATTCCGTTATAAATGCTGATATATGTCTTATGCTTAATATATTCTTTTGCGCTAACTTGATTTATTACAAATTCATTTTGTATATCACGTTTAACTGATTAGTTTTACATCTCAGGCTATTATGTGAATTTTTATATATATGTTAAATATTGTTTGTCTGCTAACTTAATTTACATTCACTAAAAATCACGTTTACGGCTCGGCTCATCGTCGATGAACCGCGAGCTTGGCGAGTAAAAATGCAATGGCGCCAACGGGTTCTTTCCTGAAGCGCCAACGGGTTCTCTGCGGATGAAAACCCAAATAAAGCTCTATGTTTGCCACAAGAGAACTTACAGCTGGAAACCACAACAAAATCGAAATCGCACCAAATAAAAATTCTCGCCAAGTTTCACACTCACCCCACTTATGGATGATTAACCAACAAAAGGCATAGAACTGTTGACTTCTTTCTTGTAAAAGTGTATTGCGGTGCTTAAAAATTATTTGGATTTAAAAACTAAGACAGTCAAAAGTCGTTAATTCGGACACCCATAATCTGGAATGATCTATAATCCGGACCTCAAAGCTACAAACTTTCTGCGCATGCGTCGCATTGGTCTTATGCGCATGCGTCGTAAGACCTTTACGGCTGCGAAAATGCGTGTGCGCATGTGCATAATACATTTACGCATGCGCGTTTAATGTATAACAGACGGTACAAGCTAAGCTAAAATTATCTAATTCAGTTAATGTTGCACATTGCGTTGTTCCTTAATCTTCGAATTGGATCCAACTTATTATTTTTCGCAGACTGTTAGAGCAATTTTATAAAAGTAAGCTTGAACTTTCGATTATGTCAAATAGAATTTCCGATATATATTTACTAATATGTAAAGGATCAAAGCGAAATTATGTTTCGAAGTCCATTAAACAAAAAGTGGAATTGCTGCAAAAAATGGATAAAGGCATAATCCTTTGTTTATCTAACCATTCCGAAATCTGTTTATCAATTTCACGCTCCTCTGCAGCGGGGTAGGGGGGACGCTGCAGCGCGCAATGAATTGGAAGTTGATCTGTCAGCACTATCCTTATCTTCAAGGCAGATGTTTTTATTTTATTTGGCTTATAATTCCTTACTAAATGTAGTATTCATCTCGATGTACTCCGTCTTTGATGATTTTAAATCAATAATTCCTCGTCATTATAATTCGCTTCCGATAGTGAAGAAAGTGACAGAGGTTATTGAAAATAAAAAATTTTGATTGAAAATTAGTCGGTATTCTCATAAATGAGAAGAATTATGTCTGTTTAGAATTAAAGAGAAAGTATTATCATATAAAACGAAGCAACTTAAACAACTTACATTGAAAGAATGTTTAATAAAGTAAACAAATAAATATTAAGCTTTTATTTTGTAAATTTTGATACCCTTTAGATCATAATTGTTCTTTATTTCATAAATTATGGTTTCATATTTAATTTTGTAATTTCTGCATGCCATCTTACCAGATTTAAACTGATGATCTATAATTCGGAAAAATCGATAATCCGGAATCACCGAAGTCCCAACGAGTCCGGATTAACGACTTTTGACTGTAGTTATGTGTATAGCAGCATCTTTAGTATTTCATGTTTAATTTTATACCATATGATGCTAAAATCAACTCCAAATTTAATTTCATTTGTGTTAATTTTCTTTCAGGGGGCTTCCATGTGTAAAAATAGACATAGCTTAACTAGTAATACTGTCAGTAAGAAGCAAAATCTTAAAACAAGAAGGAGATTATCTTTCAGTGAGAATGAGAGCTCACCAGGTATACATTAGTTTACTTTTACTTAGCTTTTAAATATACCACATTTACATGCAGATTTCTATCCATAATTTCTCTGCCATAAACTTATAATTTAAAAAGCTTTGGTTTTCTTGCATATTTTTTTTTTCATTAATTTTAATTTTGTTTATTGTTTCTTTCAGATGTTTGCTTTTAATAATTAATTAAAAGAACTATTTTCCATACCTCGTGTGTACATTTTTGTATCCACTGTCAGTTTTTTTCATCCTAGCTGAAATTCCTGTGTTTAGTTGATGTTTCCTGAGTGTATGCACAAATTTATAAATCTACATTCTTCATTTTTCGTAAAACCCACCAGCACCTAAGAGTTAAATTGTTGAACACATATTCAACTTAAATACAAATCCCAGCTAATGGCTGCCTGTTTTTTGTTTATCACTCTTATGTGTGATATAAATATGAGCCAATTTCCTTTAAAAAGTTCTCCACAAAGACATTCTTTTCTTAGGCAGATAGCCCTCGCATGCTGTGCCATAATCCAAAATAATCCTATCTGATCCTATTTTTGTAATAACTAAAACCGCATTGTTTACATTTCCAGCTCTTTTATATATTCCAAACTATGCATATATTAAATTCTGGAACTAGCTAGAGCAATTCCAAAATATATCAATTTTATTTACAAATTTAAATTTCTTACATAATTCATAAGTATTGATATTTTCATAATACATTAATTACTTGTATACGAGATTTGACGATTAAATAACAGGACTGCGCATACCCTAGCCATTAGGCTTGGTGTGGAGGAGTGGAAATGGCATGTAGGTGACCTTGATGCTTCTGTTGCAGGTGACAGGTTATTCCATCCCTCTATCTAGTTCAGTTTGTTTTCCATCCTTGTTTCAGTAAGATGATATTGTATCAAAGTGCCCTGATCATGATAACTTTAAAAATCAAGCAGCACATAAATTTAAAATTCTTTGTGAAATTAAAAAAAAAAAAAATCCTACTGAATGTTTTAAATTGTTAAAGTTTAAGATAATTGCATGTCACATAGTCAGATTTTTGAATGGCACGATTTTCGGAAGGTCGAGAGGTTGCTGAAGATGATGAACATTCTGGTTGACCTGTGATATCAAGACCCGATGAAAACATTAAAAAAATTAATGAAATCATGCGTAAAGACTGACGTTTGAGTGTTTGGATGATGTCAGATGTTACGAACATTTACAGAGACAATAAAAAAAATTTAACCCATAATTTGCATGTGATGAAAGTTTGTGAAACATTGGTACCAAAAAACCTGATATGCGAGTAAAAAATGAACAGGAAAAACATATGCTCTGACATCATAGAACACTTCACAGAAGATCTTGAACTGATTGAAAAAGTCATTGCATGTGATGAAACATGGATTTTTCAGTATGATCCTGAAATTAAATGACAATCCATACACTGGAAGACCCACACATCACCAAGGACCAAAAAAGCTCGAATGAGTAAGTCCAAACTGAAGGTCATGTTCATCTTTTTCTTTGATATGAATGATATCATCATGCTAGAATGGGTACCTCAAGACCAAATGGTAAATCAGCAGTATTACACTGAGATTCTGAGAAAGCCAATAGAAATAGTGAGGAAGAAATTACCAGATCTGTTGAGCAACAGCACCAAGGTGATGCCCCGGCACATAATGCTTTGTCTCTGAAACAGTTCTTTGTGAGCAAATGCATTACTATACTAGAGCATCTGCCGTACTCGCCAGATATCGCACCATGCAACTTGTATCTGTTCCGATGAAAGGTGTGAAGTGAAAAGTGCATTAAAGTGAATGCATTTTCAGTCTGTAGAAGAGATGAAGGCTAAAACAGCAGACTTACTGAAGAAGGTGACGCCTAAAGACCTGCAGCACTGCTCTGAACAGTGAAAAATTCATATGCAATGTATTGGTAAGGAAGGGGAGTGTGTTGAAGGGAACTAAGAGGTATTTGTATAATGTTTTCAATAAAGTCAATTTTTAAGACTAGTGTGGTTATTTAATTGTCACACCTCGTATCATACTTTTTTGAAAAAGGATATTGATTGGAGGATGTGGCTAATCTTGTAATCGTCAAAAACAGTCATTTGTAAATAAGTAATAAATTACAAAATACATTAACTTTGCTGCAAAAGAAATATCACAAAGAAGAAACTTTGAAACAAATGCCAGTGATATTGATATTGCTTTTTTTTTTTTTTTTTTTTTTGGACAAGGGAAAAGCACGACCTTAGTTTCGCTGTAACTTTCTTTAACTTTTTTCGTACTAAAATACACTAAAGACAATCAGTAATACATAAATTATTAACTTTGTTAATATTACCAACTATGTGGTTGGGGGTTACAGCAAATGAGGGAACTAACAAGGATTCGATGAAAAGTCTTGAGTTTCGTTTATTTCTCTTTCCTGACATTAGACACGGGGACCTTGTGCTGAATTTTGTGGAGGCTGTTCTGGGGACATGTTTGAACCTGTAGTTAATAGTCTTCATTTTTTTTTTTTTTTTTTTTTTTTTTTTTTTTCCAGCAGATTAAAATATCTAGTTAGTAAGTTTTGTTATGACAGATTAAACGTAAAGAACATATCTCAATATGATTGGTAGAGATGTAATTTAATTTTTATTTTAAATGTGGATAGAGCTGTAACAAAACCCTTGAAATGTTACAGTACGTACACAGTAATGAAATATTTAACTGCACTTCAATATTTAAATAAGAGTCAACATGCAGGTGATTGATGGAACACATTCTGACAAGTTATCCACTGCAATTAGGGATGCAAATATTGCACCTCTGGGCAGACAGTAAACAATGACTATTATGTTAAGCATTTTAAAGTAATTTCTGTGGAACTATGATAAAGAAAAGATCACATTTGCGCGTAAAATAGCCATTTTGCTATAGATCAATATAAAACTATACGTTGTTACTGTAGCATGAGTGTTACAATCCGAAATTGATCTATCAACACTATATGTTGCATATATCCTGAATTTACACTGAAATTGGAATTACATAAGAAGTGGTTCTCTAAATGAGGAAGTAAAAATCTGTATCCCTGTGTGTCCAAGAGGTTGTTGCAAAATTGTCTATTTCATGTTTCTGAATCGTTTATAAAACTGTGAAATATATAATTCATTGTAAAAGACTTGAATTTAAAATAAAAATAAATAAATATAGGGCTCAATAAAGCCATCTGATTCTATATAAGAGTAACAATCCCTGTGTTATTATTAATTAGCTTATGTACTTAACCACTTGCGCTAAAAAGCTGTGCCGCGCACGTCGAGATGCTTTTGTCTCAAACCTCGAGTGACGTGAACACCACGTCAATAGGCATTTATCGCGAAAATGAAAATAACGTGGTGCACATGTCATCTAACAACGAGATTGTTTATTTCTGAAGTTACAGCTCTGGATTGCACTCGCAGACTTGGAGCGGCATAAATGAGACACTTTACCACTTGTTATATTGTAGCGCACGGTACCGCATCCGTGAAGTTTAGTCATAGCGCAAGTGGTTAATATACTTTTACCATATGTTGCTTAGAACTTTAATTTTAAGTTTTTTATATATAGTTTGCAAGTATAATCTCGTTAAGATTTTCCTTAATTTTATGGAAGTAGGCAGAATTGTTAAATCTGAAGTCATGGACTTAGATTTTAAGCTTCACTAGATTTAAGATTATAATTTTTTCTCTCTGTTGAAATCACGTAATTATAATATACTACATGAAATGAGCACTGTTTTTCTGTCTCTCTTTTTATTATGTTTTATCACAGCTTTTATATTTAGCTTGCATTGTGTATTATGGTTCACTAAGAATGAAATGTGGAATTTTTCAATAAATATTTTTCTTAGTGTAAATTTGCTTATTTTCAGAATCTGAACCATGTTCTGATAAAAATATAAGAACAAATGCTGCGAAGGATTCATTAGATTTGACTCCTCATCGAACCACACCTTTATCTGAAAGACAACAAATTGCTCTTCTTTGTCGACTGAGTGCTGGCAATTCTTCTGAAGGTTTGTAAAATATGCTAATATGTAAAATGGTAATGTATGGTTTGTAAAATATGCTAATCATTTTCTAAGTAATGAGATTTTAATTTGATTCTTCATTGTAAAATAATATATGCTCTGTTCCAAAAGTTTTGCATTCAATATTCCAATTCAAACACAATGGGCTTGCTTATAATATGTCATAATGATTTTCAAATATATTATTTTCAAAGAAGAACGTTCAATGAAGCTATAAATTCACATTCAGTAGTTGCTTTACATGAATGCAAAAGAAGCTATTAAATATTAATGTTCCACACTTTCTGTTTTTGAAGTTTTGTTCAGAAGGTTGTTTGTCATCATTCTACAAAGTCTCAACAAGTAAACTTGTGTAGCTTGTTTTTTAAATCATGCAATTATTTTTAGCAAGAAATAGGTAGTTCTGGCTGAAAGCTATGTGAGAAACAAATTTTAGTTTTGTCTTATCTTAATATTAAGCAGTCTGTCATTTTAGTAGCCCTTTTTTAGAGGTCTATATTATATTTTGATTTGTGGAATCTATTTTGAAATGTCATTATTCTTTCAATGTCATATTTCAGTGAATTTCTATATAGATATGTTAGACTTCATTGTAGAAATTTCTAATTTAAATAGTTGAACCTTCCCTTTTTAAAAACTGAAATCAATTGAAGCAAACATTACAATTCATCAAATCATTAGATATTGTAATAGAAAATAGATGAATAACTATCATTATTTCGCAGTATTGTATTAAAATTTTTTTCTATTTTGCAGTTAACTATTGAAGAACTTTCATGTTCTTTAATAACATGAAAGCAAGTTGTTCCTTTCAGATATAGATTTTTTTTTTTTTTTTTAATTTTCATTTTTCTAATAAGGTTATTGGTTTTGTATAAAATGAACCAGTTACTGAGGTTTAGAGTAGACTTTAAGGTACCCAATGTATTATGGCGAAGTTGTTTCCTTTATCGCCAAGTTGTTTCATTTATGGTAGCCTGAGTAGTTGAATGTTATGGAAGCCCTATTGTGACGTAATCGGGTGCATGATTTTGGTAAATTTTGAATCATGGGATGTTTTGTAAGCACTTTTATGGTGTGTGTTGGTTTTATTGTTTAGACGGTAGAATGGCTGAATGTAGTAAGATTAATTTGAAGTTTCTGTACGATTTTGAACGAAAAGGGAAAGGAGCGTTAATTGACTGGTGTGTAAATGAAGGTTTACTCAGTAGCCATTATAAGAGTCCTGTATGTAGGAAGGATATGCATCTAGTCGAATGTAAAATTTGTTTAGATGGATTTGTAGGAAGAAAGGTTTAGATGTGGCGACGCCAATATACGGATTCGAGTTCAGATAATTTTAGGAAGTTTTTTGGATGCTGTTAAGGTATTTTGTGTGCCACAGACTAAAGACAAAAGAACTTCTAAATAGGGTAAGTAGATATTTGCTTTTTGTAGTGCTTAAATGTATAACATGTTTTTCCTTTTTTATGTTATTTTATTGTTTGGTTTAAAATGTAGTTTATTAAGATTATGCATTTTTTCTTTGCCTGTATTGTAGAATTGGGTGCTCCTTTGACTTTTTAAGTGAAAATATATCAATGTGTACATGGACAAAGTGAAGGGTGTGCGCAATGCAAGTTTGTGCATTTCCTGGATTTTTTTAAAGTGAAAATAGGTCGACGTGTACATTAATAAAGTCAAGGGAGTGCGCAATGCCATTTTTGTGCAATTACGGGATTTTTTTTTTAAGTGCAAATTGGCCGATGTGTACATGGATACCGAGTTTGTGCAATTCTTTGTCTTGTTATTTTGGCTTTGTGTAGCGGCGATTTTTCCGCCATAATGCAAGCCAAAATAATAAGTCAACAATAAGTATATGGAGAGATTGTATGTGCTCAAAATTAAAGTAAATAAATAAAATTGTATAATTTAAAAATAGTATAAAGAAAACTGTACAGAAAGAGATTTGATTATATAACGAGGAAAAACAATCGTACATTAATGTACTAAAAATAATATTCTGTACTAATTTTTTTGAATTTATTTTTATTCTGCGTAGTTGAAATTTGGTCTCTTGTAATAGTGAATCCTGTATGTACGAGGTGTTGTATTGCTTTAAATATTGTTGAAAGTCTACGAGGGTATAGCAAATAGAAATGCATAGCTTAAATTTTAAAAATAAAATATTGTTGCATTATAAGGGTTCGCGGATTTGGAGTAATTGATGATAACACTTAAAGGAGAATCAAAACACAATTTATTCACCAGTATTACAAGGGAGAGTTCCAAAGACATGTTTACAGTCATAAAAAACTACGATAAATACGCTGAAACAATTAGCAACATAGCCTTCAGGCTGCAACAGTGAAGACAGCTTCATGGCAAAGCACTAAAGTACAGCTGTCGACTCGGTTCAGTCATTCTCAAGTTAATCTCTGAACGAAAAACCCTACTACTAAAATCAACATACTGCTTTCTCCATGTACAGGCAAGGTATATATAGCTTTAACCTACCTTCGAGAACATTCCTGAAGAAAGTCGTTAAGAATGCGTTGTAGAATGTTCTCACTCTGTCTATAGCATAATGTCACCGAATGAGTGATTTCGGGATAAATCTGGCCACTGTGCCACTTTCTGGCAACTCTAATGCACTTTGCCATGAAGCTATCCTGCAGCAGCTGGGCATTTCACAACTTCCCCCTCCCAAGGACTACATGCCACAAGCAGTGCAGTCCTTGGTCAGAAGCCAAATTCGATACAAACAAAAGGTAATAAATAAACAAACAAATAAGGTAAATAAACATAAAATAAACAAATATTTACACTATTTACAAGTTATGCACACAAATTAACTACATAACAATTTAAAATTATGTAAGTTAAAGTTCAGAATGAATTTCACTTTGTGGCTTTTCATCAAGTTATATGCTGGTTAATTACTTTTTAACTGCAATTCTCTGATGTATTTCTATTTTGTATATCACAGTCTGAAGATTCAGTTCTTTCAGATTTTTAATCCACAGGAAGATCTGAAACAGTTTGTTCAACACTCTGTAGTATATTCACATTATATGTACAGTTCACCTCAGTATTTTTAGCAGTTGGTACATGCTTATTTTCCACTATTTTCGGAAAAGCAGCTTCGATTTTTGAATTAGAGTTATGAATAGAATCCAATTCTTTACAAACAGAAGTATCTTGGTTTAGAATCAAGTTTGTGTGTGTACAACTCTCATTATGAGACACTTAGTTTGTGAAGTGGGTATATTTTCTTACAATATTGGAATACTGCTTAATGAATTTTCAGATGGTTCAGTACTTGCTAACTGTGACTTTGTAACTTCACTATCAGTTTCTATCAACTTAACAATCACATTTTCACTTTCTTCTGTCTCTACTTCAGGCACTTGAGAATCAAAAACTTTATTTCCATGAATTGTTTGTTCACCTTTTTCAGATTCTTTACTAGGCACTTCTTTTATTTTACAAACAATGTTATCGTTTTCTTCCACATCAGGCACTTGAGAATCAAAAGCTTTTTTCCCATCTTTTATTTTTTCACCATTTTGTTCTCTTTCTTCAGTCTCATTAGTTATTTCATCCTTTATTTTTTGATCTTTCTTGGACACTTCACCAGCTACTTCCTTCTTTTCTTCCAAATCCTTTGATTCTTCAGTTGCTACTACTATGCCTTCCACATCTATTTTGGCTTCAGTTTCCTCTCCATGATGTCAGTTCTAATCTTGTTTTGCTCCACTTTCATCTGTTGGAGTTTCTCTTGTAGCTTTCCTTGTCTGGCTTTTATTTCTTTTTGACCCGATTTTATTTCACTCTTGATCTCAGCCTTTATTTCCTCTGCTATGGCTTTTTCCTGTAGGCAGGATTTGGAGTAATTGATGATAACACTTAATGAAGAATCATAATTTATTTGCCAGTATTACACAGGAGAGTTCCAAAGACATATCACAACATTCAAGTTACAGTGGTGAAGACAGTTTCATGGCAGAGCACTAAAGTATAGCTCCTGACTTGGTCGATTGCTCTCAAGCTAACCTCTGAATTCTACTACTCTGCTACTGAATTCAAGATATTCCTACTGCATATACAGGCAGGGTATATATAGCTTTAACCTAATTTCGAGAAAATCATTAAGAATGCATTTAAAATGTTCTCGCTATGGCATACTGCCAATTTTATCGCCAAATAGAAAATTTTGCATCAAATCTGGCCACCCTGCCACTTTCTAGCAACCCTAACCCCACTTTGTGGGGAAGCTATCTCACTACAGCTTGGAATTTTGCAACAGTGTTAAAAATTGGGATGTAATAATATAGTATTTTTGTATTGTAATGTAGGAGATATATATACCCTGACTGTATATATATATCTTTAACCTAATTTCGAGAAAATCATCAAGAATGCATTTAAAATGTTCTCACCATGGCATACTGCCAATTTTATCGCAAAATAGAAAATTTTGCATCAAATCTGGCCACCCTGCCACTTTCTAGCAACCCTAACCCTACTTTGTGGGGAAGCTATCTCACTACAGCTGGGCATTTTGCAACAGTGTTAAAAATTAGGATGTTATAATATAGTATTTTTGTATTGTAATGTAGGAGATGGTCAGAACTATGTCTGCTCTGAAAGTGAATGTTGTTGTAGTGAAAATATATGAAAAATTATATCAAAATGCATTGAACAATGAGCTTCAAAAACTATTTCTATGCATTTTTCTTAAGCATTTTATTAATTGAAAAGCTGAGAAATATGATCTATATTAACAGCAAATAAATATGTGACCATATGCTAGGCACCAGTGCATATGCATTTCAAAATCACATCATGGGCATTTATTATTTGGGTTATATATATATACTTTATGAAATTATTAAAAAAATATGCAAAAATAGTGTTTCATTTTTCTATAAATTAAACTTTTTACTGTAGATAACTGAATAATTTTAAGGAAACCAGTGTTTTAATTTGTAGGCAACTAGGAA